CACATATTCCAACTCAAAACACTCACTTCCTCCTGCTCAATATGCATTTTAAACATTCACAACTCACAAATTCATCGATTAACGTCCAGCAAGTACCTTTCATTCATGCAAATTTCCGATCATTCTCATAAATCTCGTATCCAACTAGCCGTTTCCCATAATTTTAAAGAACATTGTTTTTTTCCTACAAAACCTAATCTGATTAAAATTGCAAATAGCTCAGAATGAATTTAAATGTGGCTATTTTGCCTTTCAATTTTTATTTTCGTAATATAATAAAATCTCTGTGCAGTATTGCAAGCGCTTAACTGCATTTTAAATGCAGTAGTTTTTTTTTATTGTATCGCTGGTTTCCACCTCTAATAAACAATATTGTACTTGCATTTTAATAATTTTTTTTTGTTGCTTTTCCATATATTCGATTGCGATTTTGTATCAATAGCGCATTTTAATTGCATTAATTTGTTATGAACATCAATCTATTAGGGGCAACATATTTGAATTATTAATATTATAAGATTTTTATTGTAAAGCTAAGACTGATAAAAAGACATTAGTGAGCTTTACGCTTTTGTTTTTTTCAACTCGTTTTCTCCATTTATGCAAATTACAATGGATTTTTAATGAATTTCATGTTCATTTTAATCAGAAATGAATGTACGTTGATTATTCTGGTAAATGGACTGTTTAGGGGAACCTTGGGGAGAATTAAGTGGCAATTTATGGTGTGTTTTAGATATTTATGCATTATTTTTCAGGGTATTTTTGAAAAAATAGCCAAAATTTAATTAAATTGCTTATTTTTGTGATTTGACAAAATTCTACTTTGGTAATCAAAGTTAATAAATTTTAAAAAGATGAGCATAGCTTGAAAAGTTTAAATGGGATACTGAACACTCTCTGGATTGAGCTTTAAACGATAGAACACCCCCTTTAACACAGAGTTCGAAGTCAACTCGAGATCTTTGTCGATTTTGTATAGTGGAGTCCGACTTAACTCCATACAAAATTTCGTCGACTTCGAGCTCTGCTTTAACATTTAAAAATGTATAAAAACATTATTTTCCACCAACCTACCCCTCAATCAAGAATCATTATTTTTGCGTCCCCTAAATCAACACTGCCGCAAGTTTTCTAAACTTCATAATCTCTGCAAATCTAAACAACTACTGCAACATTCACACAATCCGGCAGTAAAGCCTCAAGGAATATTAATTTAACCAACGCTAATTGAATCCAACCATAATTATTATACAATAAATCAAAGCTATTTGGAAAATTCAAATTCAGAAATCAAGTTTCCATATTGTAACAGCTCACACAAAGCTTTCCAAAAAGTAAAAGGCCATATGAACAAATTGTAAGTTAATTGATGTATGCAAATTAAATAAATAATAATAATAACAAAAAATCTATACACACGACAGAGCAGAAATGACATTTTATCTTTGATCGCATAAATGTCTCTGTCTCATTCTTGAGTCTCAACTTTTTTTTGTACTGCTGTTGTTGTTGCTTTCTGGTCACACGCAAATATTTTTTTTTTGACGAAATGGTGCGGTTAACGGACATATATACTTTTTGGTGATCGCATTAATCTATCAAGTTTCATGCGGGGTGACATGTTTGTTATTTTTTTTTTGTGTATTATATTCTCTTGTACATGCTACAAGTGATATCTTTAAAGAAAATATAAAAAAAATCGTGTCGCATGTCCAAAAAATATTCGATCACGAATTTGATATGATTTTTTTGTGATACGACCTTCTCATATCATATTTAAATTAATCGATTATTATCGAATTTCTTGATTTTATTATTGATTACGTTTAGTTTAATTTTAACAAGTTAATTATTAACGAGTTTGTATGAGCAAGAAGAATATTTGGAATAAGATGAAGAAATTCGGGTTTTTTTTTGTTACTTCATTGATGTTGACGTGCATTTTTATCCAAAGTTCATTAATTTAAAATATTTATTGACATTTTAAAATTGGGATTTTCAGCTACTGAAATTAATAATTATGAAACTAGAGTGGATTTCTGTCATGCGTAATTAAAATGTTATTAATATTCTTTAAAATAATAAAAAAAAAGTGATTGAAATGCTGTTAATTTTGTTTGTGAATATAGAATTATATCACTTCCTTAACTCAACAAGCAGTTAGTGTCTTTGAACTAAAAACTTAATAGACAGTCATCAAACTAGGTGCTATGATAGTCACACATACCCTTACTTTGAATAGCTACTAAATATTATTAGATTGAGAAAGGCTGTTTACAATGGATAAAGAACCTAAGCTAAAATAGCTAGTCAGTCAAAGATTACATACATTTCAATCCCAAGTTGAAAACTCTACACAATATCCAGACTATAAACTTCAACAATATTAAACTGAGAGTCGAACCTTCAATTCCTACTAAACAAAGTCTCCTCCTATACAAGTTTAGCTACTGTCGACGCTCTCCACTGCTTAATCCATAAGACATTATCAATTTTTCATACCCACAACTGTTTCAAATCCCCAAATAAAACGCCACATCTTCCATGTCATTAAGAAAGTCATTTAATTAAGAACACACTTGCTCCACTATCTCCATGGGATTTTCAAATTTTAATCCTCAAATTTATTTAAATTAATCTCCATTTACAATAAAGCCGACTCCAAAAAAAGAATTAAAATTAATAAGAAGAAAATTATATTGATAAGCCATCGATTTAACATAAAATATTAATACAGCTCAAATACACACTTATTTCAGGGGATTAATATATTTATTATGAGGCACCTCAAACCCAAAGCGCCAAGATTTTCAGTTTCTATAATTAATTATTTATGTGGATTAAATAGACAGTCTTAGATGATACACAATACATCGACTAATAGCAGTTGATTCTTTCTCCTAATAAAGCGAGAAACAAAACACGAGTGAGGAGAAATAAAAGCAGATTAATTAATTAATAAGTGATAGCTACTGGAATATTTTCTTTCTCTCTGCATTTTTTTTCCTCATCTTAAATACATTCATTAATGACTTAATTGATTGAACTCAATAAATAAGGTTTTAAAATAGTCGCGTTAAAGACATGGCAGTTTAAATCATTTGTATCAAATGTTGTAATCAACAAGCAGCAGTGCTGAATCAATTTGCTTCTCTTAGCCAACAAGCGGGATTATTTTTCAAGATTGAGTATAATGGAGATCGGTAAGTGTTCATTTGTTTTAATCGTGAAAATAGTGACAATATTAAAAGGATTGTCAAGAAATTGAAAACTTTAGCATGGAAAGTTGGTTGAGTGAGTCATATTGACTTTATTATAGTAAAGTTTGGATTGGATGAGTAATTGTGAATGTTTTGGCACGGGTCATGCTTGCTGAATTAAAGTTTCAGAATAAAATGTCGAAAATCAGTAATGAGTCATTCAACGCCTTAAAATCAGTTCCAATGAGTGCGTTTTGGGGAATATTCAATTTTAAAAATTCCAGACAAGTGACGACATTTGTAATCAGTATAAACCCTCTATCCTAACCTAATTTTTCAAGTCATTCAAATTTGATCATGAGCCATCAAATTTTTACGATTTATAGGAAATAGATCTCATCTTTACGTCCCTTAAATAATTGCAAAATCTCCAGTGTATCCACACTTAATTGTCTATAAAAACTTCTCAAAAGATTGCAAAAAAAATCACAAACTTTCAAGCCAAAATCCACAAACAATTTAACAGATAATCACAACACTCAGCCATAAACATGCCCCAGTTAGTCATATTTACACCTAATTAATTACCAGAAAGGAAATTTCTTTAATTTAATCGCTTAACAACTTTTTTTTTGCCTCAACAATTTCTTTTAATTGCATTTACACAAATGTATCTTTTTGCAGCCAATTAAAAAACTCGCATTAGACTCCAAGTTAATATTATAAAATTATCATCATCACACTAACCAGAAAGGAGGGAAATTAAATAGAAATTAAATTCATTTCATTAGTTAAATATAATTGAATTAGCAAAGTTTTTTTTTTCGCTCAATATGATGAAAGGCTGAGTTTGTTCATTCATTAAATCTGAATCAATTAGAGTGAGTAAAAAAATAAATGCTGCATGTAAATTGCAGTTATTGACTATGCGGTTTTGTTATCAGCATTTTTGCATGAAATATTCTACTGTTATGTGATTTTTTGCATGCTTGTGAGTAACAATAACGAGATTTTTACACTTTCATAGCTATTATGAAACTTAACAGCCCTAAAACGTAATTTTTACGAGCCCAACGACGAATGAGACCTCTTTTATTGAAGTAAATGATCAGTTACTATGTTGTGTATCACACAGGATTGTCACAAGTCCCTTTTAAATTCTCAAACATCCATAAAAGACTTAATAAACCCGCTAGCCTCCCAAAAAATATTCACAATAATTAAATAAAAGTGTCAAACATCAAGCTCAGTCAACCCATACCTCCCATAAATCAAAATTAAATCAGAAATTAATTCCACGCCACTCTTTTTTTCTCAAAGAATAAAATAGCCGTAAAACCACACACCATCGTTCTTATGCGAGTTTTATAAAAAAAAAGAGTCACCAACATAAAAAAAACTTTCATTTTTCAGCATATTATGAAATTTTCATGTTGATGTATCTGTTTACATAAAAACATTTTTATGTGGTTTAAGGCTCATGTTCCCATGAAGCTCACTCATCCATTATTATCATATACAACAAGTCGAGAATGGAATGAAAAAAAAGCGTCTTGAAGAAAATTAGTCAAGGGTGGCAAAAGACGTAGAAAGGGGGAGAGAAGACAGTTAAAGACGGTTAGAAGACGTTACTTGATCTTCAGTTCCCATAAGTCGTCATGGGAGGATAATTTTCCATGCATTATAATAAATTATAAGCAACAATTATGCACCTTATACAATAATGACCTGTTTCTTCGCCTTTTAATAAGTAAGTGTCTATAGTATGAAAAAAAAATTAAGGATAAATATACTTACATCATGTTCATCAAGATATGAATGAATCTCTAATTTATCAGTCCGTACAGTGCCTTGAAATGGATAGAACACGGTATTCTGTTGTACACGAACTGTCGAGAACACCGATGCCACTTGTTCTCTCGACTTTTTGCCACCAGGTGCTGTCAAGACAAGTGAAAATTCTTGCGGTATGAGAACTTGCGTTTCCATGACTTTAAATGGATATTCTGCTTCTAGAATTTCAATTAAATTGCTTGATGCTGCAATAATTCACTTTATTGTCAATTGTGACGATGCGTAAAATATGGTCGATGGATTATAAAATATAGATATGGTTCTCACAACATGTGCACATCAACATTGGGTGATAATTCACTTGTAAAACTATGATTTTTTGCTGTTCAACTTGCCTGTTGCTCGTTCGTTCCTTGCTTGTCGATTTATAAATATTTATGAAATATTGTCGCGATTTGAAATTGCTCTTGCAATATTGCCCATATTAAATTATTTAACTTGATGTAATGGTTATTTATAAGAGCTCATCAAATTATATGATTGATAGTTGAAATAAAATTGTGAATATTTGATGAATTTATGGGACTTGTAATAAAGTCGTTTGCTTTATTCGAGTCTATATTGATGATTATTGATTTGCATTAATTAGTTTCGCGTTTCGTTTTTTTTCTCGCTCGTTGAGTTTGTTTTATTTCCTTAATTTGTTTTTAGCACTTACTTTGTTGATGATGAGAATGCTTTTATTGTTATTTGTAAATTGGAATAGTTTTTTTTTAAAAAGTTATTAAAACTTTTTGATGATCGTAATTTGAATTGGAAATTGAGTTGTTAATTTATTGATCCACAAAATTTTTGGAGTTTCTTTTAATCAAAAAAATATGTCGAATTTTGTTCTGGATTTTCAATTTCTTCAGTTCTATTCAGATTGAATCAATTGTGATTTCTTCAGATTTTGCTAGATTTCAAATTACTTTTCCTAAGTTTTGTTTTTCAATTGCATTCCTGTGGTCTCTTTCATGTTCCAAAATTCTATATTTGTTGTAGAATCTTATAGATCTTCTTTGAATCTTTGACTGAAAGTCACAGAATTTAATTTACAAAATTTCAATTTATTCGCTTCAAATTTCCATAAATTAAAGTCAACTTGAACTTGAAAACGTCTTCAGCTTCTTTGTTAATTTTGCGATAATTAAAATAAGTCAGAAATTCACACGGCAGAGCTTAAAAGCTTCTGAAAATCACTCAGTTTCACTAGTAATTGTTCCACAAGTTGCTTTGACTTTTGTAACAATGGTTTTTAAAATTTTACTTTATGTCAATTTGGTTAAAACTTGTAGATAAAAATTCTGGAGAACTAGTCACTGAACCATAGATATATTGAAGTTTATTTAAAAATTTTCTTCACTAATATTTCAATTTTTATAAAAGTTTCTGTATGAAAATTCTTTAAAAAATTCTTAAAATTCAAAAAAGTTTTTTTTAAATTGTTGCACAAAAATATTCAAATTTATTCAGTTTTGCTCAATTAAAAAAGTTTTTTATTTTATAATTTAAACAAAATTAATTAAAGTAATTAAAATGTCATTAAAAAATTTCTTCACATAAAAAGTTCCGATTCTCGATTCTCGAAAAGCACACGAAAAAAAAGTTTATTTTACACATTGACAAAATCAACCAATAAACCATCGATGGCCCGTTTTGTTAAGCAACTAAACAAATACTGGACATGAGAATTATTAAGATCCATCACAAGCCGTGACCTTCTAACTCGCACTAGTACAAAAAAAAGTTTTAATATCATTTACTACTGCTTTTTTTCGTATATTTTACTTAGTTTTAGATGATTTTTATTTCTCTCTTCAAATCGAACGACGATCGTGTAAATATTGCTTATTTTGCGCGCGACTTATTCCTTGTTTCAATTTGAAATACTCTGAAAAAAAATTTCTGTCGTTTTGTGTAATTTTGTTGTTTTTTTTTTTTTCTTTTCTTTCAATTCAATTCATAGCACAAGTGTAAAGACACAAAGTGTTTTAAAATTGTTAATAACAGGTAAGTTCGAGTGTATTTGCACATTTACATCCACAACAAGGTACATATTTCTCAACTCCGCCTTCCATCTCCAAACGATTGTTGTCTGTGTATTAAAATATATTGAAATTAATGAATGAAGTAAGGAAAGAGTCAAGATCAAAATTGATCTTCATTCTCTTTTGTGATCAACACTCTCATTTGAGATAGAGACTTACTCTCTTTTGGAGTTTTTATTTTGAGGCTTGCACTGAAGTGAAAATTTTCTTATTTAAAGGTAGCATTTAAGTATAATTTTTTTGTGTAATTTTGAAAACAAACAGGCGGAAAATTTAAAATTTTAATGACGAAAATTAATATAAATTTAAATGAATGCTAAATGATGCAAGATTTTTCAGAGAAATAAATTGCTACGCAGTAAGGAGCTGTCAGTTAAATGATGGGAATTATGTAAGAAAGTTATTGTTCTGTTTGAAAATTTTGAGGGTTATATAATTAAAATTTTTGATTAGGAGGGTGGAGGGGTGAGGCTGTGACAGAAAGCTAATATTAAATTATTTTATTGTCATTAAAATTCTTATTCTTGAGAGCAATCGATTCGATCATTATTTGTAATTTTTATATCCTTATACTTGACTGCATTGCTTGTTTAAAAAGGAATGTTAAATAAAGGGTCGTTCATTGATTACGTTTATATTTATTAGATTTAATAATAATTTAATTTTAAGGAACTTTTAAAGCAAGTTTTTTTTGCCTCTACTTTTTAACTCTATCAATAAATACCCAACTTTTTAACGGAATTCTGCACTCTAAAGGTGCTAGCAGTCATAATTAACCAAAATGAAATCATCTAATTTTTCACAAAATTTTGTGACATTTTTTTAATGTAAAATATATTAAATTTTGTAAAAATTTGAATTCAAATTTAATCGATTGGCAAACTCCAGAAGCATCATTCATCAATATTACAAAGGATAAACATGACAAAATAACACAAAACGTGTCCAAACTCCTTTATGCATTACACAAGACAACAAAATGCAAATTTTTTTGGCACCTGCTTACTTAATTTAAGCACAAAGCAATATTTATCGATGAAATAAAATTCAAATTTGGAGATAATTAGTCGAAAATTGATGAATTTTAAAATGTTTCATTCCTTATTATCAGTTTCAAATTAATTTTTCAATAAATGTCGGACTAAGGTCGAATAATAATAAAAATGAAGGTGCTTTATTAATTTATTGATACTAAATTATTTTTTAAAGAGGGTTGAAATGTCAAGAATCGATTAATAAACATGAAACTCATGACAGTTAATGATTTTTAAGGTTAAGTATATTCTATTTAAACTTTGATACTTTTTGTGTGATGTGATTGAAGCATTTAAAATAGGGATTTAATTACTAGCTTTTTTATTAAGTTGTGAAACTGTAAGTGACTTCCGGCAGATTAAGTTTTAGAATTTTAATCTTTTTTTTTAAAAACTTTTTAAAATGTAAATAAAATTTTTATTTTAATTTTCGATAAAATATGTTGAAAATAATTAAAGTTTCAGTACATGCTCATCCTACCCATAAATCTGTTCAATTTTCCATACCATAACTCTCAGCACCCACCCTTTTGACTATATAATTTACACTGGTAATTATGCGTTGAAGTGAGAATCAAATTTAATTACTCATTGACCATGAAAATGTTCAGAGAAGTCATCCATAACGCCACTTTGAGAATGCATGTTAATGAATCATTTCTAAAAAAAAAAACCTTCTCACTTATTATTTGACTTGTACGTTACTTATTGTTATTGTTCAGTGAGTGTGTACACAATATAGTTCCTCCCTTGTGCTGTCGTTGAAGTCTTTTGTTTGCTTGACAAATGTTTGAAGCTTTTGTGACAAATGTGACTTATTGTTGTGAACTTAATTGTTATTTAGAAGTGAATGAGTGATTAGTTGGGACTTTTGTGTTGATTCTATTGGACTTGGCTATAAAAGTTTGAATTTGTGTTGCATGGAAATTTTTCTAATTCTGGAGCTATTGGTCTCTTCATTTTTGAGCTCCTGGATGCCATACCTTCTTAATACCTACAATGTATACTATTCCAGTCTTTTAATTTAATTACATACTTTAGGGATATCTCATACGATGTTTTAGATTCTATGAAAAATTAAAGAATTTAAAAAAACCTATCAATATCTTAAAAATGTGATAATTATCAGTCTGAATGAAATTACTATTTATAAATATTTAAATTAATTCAATCTTAATAACTCACATTATAAATCTAATTCAATCATGTTCCGGTTCTGTGGGAAAATCTTTCAATTTTCATCTCGCTTGATTTTTTGCATTTTGAGAAATTTTTCAATTGAGAAATTCTTTCAATTTAATTTCTCGAGATGCAGTGCACATGTTTCAATAAATCAGTAAGATTTAATTATTGATTCTGTTTATGAAGATGCTATCTAAAGCTCCGGGTTCTGCTTTGTTTACTAAAGTTGAAATCAATTTAAAATCATTCACATATTACCGGATCAAAATATGATTGAATAGCTGTTTATGGATGATTTGTGATTTAATCAGAGTAAAGTGCTTCATTGTTTTGATGAAATCTGACTAAGTTCTGAGGAAATATCTTGATGGCACCTTGACTTCTGTTAAAATTCCGGATTTTGATGCAATGTTTGGATTTTTCGATTAGTCATTTGAAATAAAAGTTTATTTTGGAAGAAATCTCGATTTGTCAGTTTCAGGAGTTCATTTTGGACAGAAAAAAAAATGGATTCAAGAAATAAATACAACAAATTTGATGCTGAATCTACCAAAATTCTAAACCAAATTCCAAACTGAAATGAATCCAAAACTCTTTAAACCGTTTAAAATCACCACCCCGAGCCATAACTAACGGGTGCAATTCAACTGCAATTCAACTTTAAAGCCACAATAAAAAAAAAATCAATTCAAACCTCAGCAGAACAAAAAGGCGATGCGAATCAGAGCAATAAATAAATTCGATAGACATTTTGTTTTAGAATCAAAAACTGCTATTAAATTAAAATGTAAATTGCAAAACGCACGTTTTGCCTTCCGACCAAAATTAAAACAAAACAAAAAGCAAGACAAAGTTCTCCACATGAAAAAATAATCAGAAAAAATGAATTTGAAAGAAGAAACGATCAATTTAAAAAGGAATTAACGAAAAACAGCCAAAGACTAAAGACTTTGAAAGCTATATAAGAACCATGAAAGAGGTATGTCTAACAATTCTGCACGCAATATGTGATATATTATGATTATTGTAATGTAATTATTATTTCTGTCGTTTTCCCCCTGCTTCTGCAAATATGTCCTTAAGCGTTTCCTTTTCAAGAAAATACACTGCGAGTATGTCTGTGCCGAGATTTTTCTTCTTGTCTTGCATTAAAACATTTTTTTTCTGTGTTCAGCTCCTTCTCTTTTTCCACTCATTCTGTGAAGATTTAAACACCGGTTTAAGCTTATAATGTTGGCATCTTTCGAATGGAATGTTATGTGCATAAATCTATCTCTATGCTCATTTCATACATAGAACCTTGAGATAGTTAATATTGATACTGTTTGGCGAAATAAATCATCGGAAAAATGTTAAGCATTTTTTTTTGTTTTCTTTTATTTGCATTTATGCCTCAATTCTGACTTTTTTATTCATTTATTTGTGGTTAGGTATTCAAAATAAATTGAACATTAACATAATTTGATAATGTTTGGAGAAAAAAAGGAATTTAATATAAAAGTGAGTAAGTTGGATAAAGTAGGGATGTACTTTCGGAATGGAACGCATTTTTGGTTAATT